ACATGACAGAAAAGTAAAAGCGAGAAGATAATATTTTGCATGGGCACGATGTGGGCGTGTTGTAACAATAGCTATCTGAAGTGCAGTCGTGTGTACATGTAAGATAGGAGCATTCCACTGTACGGTGACAAAAATACTCGTGTAAATTAACCGTTTGACTCCCATTCTTTATTACGAGCGTACAAACTTCGGTTTACTTTATGGTGGCATATAAAATTAGATTTGCAACCTATAGATATAGTTAAGAACAACTTACGAGAACAAGATCATTGGAGCGTAAATGCACACATGGAAGTACACAGAAATAATACTTCTAACTAACATCGAAGATGTTGTTATTTGCAACTAGTATCATAAGATTCGAACAAATATTTATTTCTTAGCAATATTTTAATGTCAATGATACCTTGAAGTGTCTTCGCAACGTAAGAGATTAAGAAAGTGAAAAGATGAGGAAGAGACAAGGAAGAGACAAGGAAGAGAAATTTCATTGCTGTTATCTACATGAGCCTCGCTAATGCCAGAAATGCCAGACAATTCCGCGACACGCCTAATTTACCTAACGTGTAACTAGTCAATTTTGCGTGAATATTTCCCGAAACGATAATTCCAACGATCCTCTGTATTAGAACCGTCTACCAAACGAGCTGAAACGAGTAATTGCCTGAGAAGAGCGTTCTTCATTGGCGAAACGACGGAAAACTCCACGTACTTTCGTTCGTAGACGTATGTTTCTCCACGTTATGCAACGAACGCATCCGGCTTCCACAGATGCGACCGAATAGCATCGTCATTAATGATGTAAACGTTGGAAAAAAGCGACTGCAGAGGAACAAATCGTTTCTCTGAATATTAAACGCGGAAGCACTCGTCGGAACACTCGAGCGTACGCTTTAAGCGTTTCGCTACGCGATCTCTGCTAATGGATCCAAAACGCTATGCACTCGAGATACATCTCGTATGCTCACTTGACGCACGGAGAAACTCGAGACGCGGTCTGTTTGTGTTTGTGACAATCGAGAGATCATTGTTTTGACAAGAGACTGGATTTCACTCGAAGCATTGTCCCTTTCGCCTCGTGTTCAATTCGATATCGATTGCGATCGAATGATCGTGAAATTTGTTGGTAGATAATGTTACGGAATGAATTAAGGAGCTTTCTGAAAAATGGCTTATAAAATCTATCGTAAATACTCTTCGGGTCTAGTCAGTTTGGATAAAATAGAGCTATTTTGTCAATCAAAGTCGTTTGATCCGACACGTAACATCGTATCAAAACGGTAGATATCAGGGAAAGTAACCATTACATTGATTTAATGATACGCTCAGTTAGATCTACAGCGATGCTTATCGATCAGGCAACGCGAGAACAAATTGTGTTCGACATTTTGTGATGAATCGCGCTCTGTACGAAGGATGTCGTAAGGTGTGAGATACCGGAGAACGAGCAAAACTCGCAGACCGCGGGCGAATTAGAGAGAAAATAATGAAACGGGTCGACCCGGTCTTTTATTGATCATCGAGGAGAAAGGAAACTGTTATTCTTCCTGGAAATAGTCGCAGGTTGATAAATCTATTGCTTCAAGAGTTGGAGAGAACTCGTGTAAGTGTACATTGGTACATTGTGTAGTAAAGCACTAGTGTTTCACAAACTTTCAAATTGCGTATAAAAAATGTCAAACTAATTACAAGATTAGGTGAATTACACCCACGAAAATATTTGTAGAGTCAGTGGTATACTTTTCCTGAAAGGCTAATACTATCACCCGTAAGTCATATATTTTTCATTCCGGGATACGTATTTAAAGCTTTGTGCTTGACGCGTGAACCGAATTCTGTTTAACGACGAAACAGCTAACTCAATTCTACGGTTAAATTTCCACCACTTTGCGAAGATGATTTCAGATTATCGTACTGTAAATAGATGCAGCGCAAAATTAAGTCTTCGATTTAGGCCGCTTATACAATCAGCGGCACGAATGTTGATTAATTCACGCGTGGAAAACTCGACGCAGATTTTCTGATTACCTCCGATTCCTGGTTTTCCTCTGCATTTCGTGCGCCGCTTCACCCCGACAAATATGCAATATGTTTACGATTATTTCGCAACGAATGCAAAGCATAAATTACATCGCCCCGCGCTCGTTCGAGTAGCCACCGTGCGCTACGTGCAGTTCTCGTGATCATCGACGCGCGTTGCCTTAGATATCACAGCGGCGTGATCTATCGTCACGGTGTACGAACATGTGTGCCGTGGTTTGTGGGCGACCTCGTGCCTCTGTACCTACGATAGAACGCGCGTGACTTTTCCAGCAGAATTCCTTTAAAATCGCTCTCTTCCATGTTTAAGGTGCCTCTTCAATGTCGTTTCTCTCGCCTGAAGAACAAATTGGGTTAACTTGTCTGTCTAAGAGTTACAAAAGTTAGATTATAAAAAGTATTTTAGTTCAAAGAGAACCAGGAAAATCTCTTGAGTCATGAATTTGTATTTCCATCTTACACTGCAATTTGTCTTAATATATTACAAGATATTTTGTTTGTTGAAACAAGAGTGAGATTCGGATATAAAAGTTTGAGGATCGTAGCAGGCTTAAAGTATGTAGGCGTTCTGTATTCTTCGTCGTTTAATTGCACTTCCAAGGTGTTACGTTTGAATAAAATCATATTCTGAAACATTCTGTAGTAGCCACTCGATAATCAGATACGTGTAGGTATTCGCGTTCGCCGTGTTACCTCGACCTTGCTTTTCTATTCCTCTCGTTCTTCTGAACGAACATACATAACGATCTTCATACACCTTGAGATTTTCATACCTTCATCGACATATGAAGCATTTTATGTGATCTCTCGTTTTAAAATGGGATTTTTTCACTTTTTGACAGAAGAAGATGGGCTTGAAGAAAACTGGAGGTAGTATCGGTATTTGAGAAACGACTTGTCGCATTTTTCTCACCGTTCGGTTTCAGCAGCGTAATTATGGCGGATTTATTCATGCAGGCAGCTATGGCTAATTAGAACCGATGCCAATCAACTCGACTTCTGGCAGTTTGCGAGACTATATCATTAAACTGTCTTTCTCTTTTCTCGTTTCAATCAACCCCGTTGAAAGTTGTGACAAGAAAACCCAGCGTGGCGTAACACTATCCTCGTCATAGAGTATCTCGTTGGTAAATCAACGTAACGTCTCACCAGATTATGTTAGATCGAGCGATTCCATCTAAGCGACATTTTGCAATCGCTGATTTTAGGATTTGAAGTATCGGATTAGTAGGAAAATGATAACACAAAATAAAATACGAGCCATTCGAGGCTTTTCTTACTACGATCAAACACCGACGTTATTTTCTCACCAGTCTAATACATTGGGAATTCTCAGTTGGAAACTATTTACTGTGATGTATCGTAGACCGGAGTTCTCATAACGGAGCAACAATTAATCGCCTTGACATTGTGCTAGACGTTAAGAAAGAAATCGCGAGGCAATGACGTGTCACGCTGCTCACCTTGCTTTCGATACAGAAAGTCGATAGAAGAATGAGCGTGCTCACGTTCATTTAAACTTTAAATAATCAGCCATGATCGAGTGAGCAATTGTTCGATAGCATTAACCGACGTTCCCAAGCCCGTAACGTCGATGGAATCCTCGTCGAGCGAACTGTAAAGTCGAGTAATGATTTCGTCAGATTTTACGTAAGACTCGATGAAAAGCGAGAAGATCGTCATTTGTCAGATGATACAAAACACCTTCCTCCACGCTTGTTTTCAAGAGAGAAGGTGTTTCTTCTATTTCCGAATCGGCGATTCACAGAGAGTTTACGTCACTTTCACGACACTGTGTATTTCCTTTTTAAGATTTCTTTCGGGCACACGATTCCTCGTTAAGTGATAACACCTTGGGAATATTTATGGCTTTTTGCGGGAACCACGATCGAGAAGCAGAAACCTGTTGCGAGATTGAAATGTTCTGTCGAAAGAGTAATTAACATCTCACTTGTGTTACATAGTCGATGGAAACGGAAGTGCTATTGCTGCTGTTTTTTAAGGGACTGTACTGTAGTCTAGAACGTCGTTTTAACCGTTTCGATAACCTATACTCTCATAAAGTGCCAACAGAAATCGATTTTTTGCAAATTCCATGCTAGAACAATACCTTAATTGAGATAGGAGTCTAAATTTACGATGTTCCATAAATCTCGAACATAATCTATTTCTGGAATTCTTTCCACTCTAAATGCCATAAATACCTACGAGCACGTAACAGAAATAGTTATCTACGAGGCAAACAAATCAATTAAAAATAAAACCATTGCAATTCATCAGAGTCGAATGGAACAGTTCGCGGTAAAGTGGCACCGTATTGCCATTTGCCCTCAACATTCTCCATAATTTGTCCTAGTTAATTTATCAAGTAACACTTTAGTCATACCTTATCGTTTAATAGTGAATGCTAAGGAAGTCGGGTGACTTTAGATCGGATGGAAACGTTGAATAGGCAACCTGTATACAATCTGTCAGGATGGTGATTTTATTCCGCGGCTATTGTCCCATAAATTCTGCTGCATTGTTAACGCTCGTAAAAATTGTCATGTGCTTTCAACTCTATATAAGACTTTTCTCGATCATAAATCATCCGAACGAGGTTACCATTCTGCGGTTAGGCGCGTTTTCAGATCGTTTAACGAAACTTTCGAGTCTCGTTGACCGTTCTCCGTTGTATAGTAGAATTCGCGACGTTAATAGCGAAGCAGCTTCCGATATTGGAACCAGCTTAGAGCCAATATTCTCGTCGAATCGTTGCAATCGCCTCTAGAGACTTGATTAAAACTGATTGCGAGAATTTCCATTTTTATTTATGGCGTATTTTTTTCGTGAGACTTTCAACTTTTTACACGAAGATTGAGAAACGGCGAAAGCAGATTCGAGAATGTAATAATTTGTCTGGCAGTGAAAAAATTCAAATAAAACATGAAGCACGTATTGAATCAATCTGTTTATTTCAGACAATTCTGCTGACCTTGGTTTTAATGAGCCTGGCAGTGGCTTCGTCCCAGGACTACAGTCAGCTGTTCGCAGGATTCGGGCCTTACCTGAGGCAATCAGCGGTAATGCGAGATCCACGATCGAACAGAGGTAAGTATGTTAATTCTTTATCCTCGGAACCCTTCTCATGTTCTCGATATACTACCTTTCAATCAATTCGATCAATTCGACTCGGGTCTTGATTCCAATTCCAACTCGAACCCTGTCGATCATAATTTTCGCCACGAGTACGAAGCATCGATTCGTGAACTCGCGGTCAATTCCATATCCGCTGTCCATGTTTCCGACGAAGCGTGACGCTGCTACTAAACGAGATTCCGAAGGTTCGAAAGCAAGCACAGAAATTACGATCAATAGCGGAAGAGGGAACTAATCGCGATAGTCTGATCGATATCGAGCGCGTTGCGTTTACCAGTTCAGGTTTATGGACGTTCAGTTAAACTAGCAATGGCTCGTGATTAGAATAATTCGTTTCGGGTAAAAGGAAAGTGGTCGTATATGTTCCAGTCAGTTTCTCGATCGATTTCTACAAGCTGTCGTGAATCATCGTGTTATTTCAAACTTGGTCAATCAATTTTAGAAACTTTATGGTATCTCACGTCCATCAGCGTGAAATCTTGCAATTTACGATTGACGGATAGAGCGTCGTTCGTCGCGATAATGAGGCCTCTCGTCGCCTATTCGTATTCTAAGGTCAACATTGCAGCTGTGACATTTGCCTACGCCATGTGTGTGAGCCCAATGCACGCTTAACCAGGATACGCGATCCTTGCAGTCGAATGGAACGCGGCGCGTTTACGCACGGAATGGGTGCCAAGTTCAGTCTCGCCAAAGTGCTGCTAACAGTGCGCTGAATCGTACTGAAACTGGTCGTTTTATAGCGACCGAGTATTAGATAACAATTTTTTCTTCCTTCCAGAATTCTTCAAACACAAGTCTACGTTGTTGTGCATGGAGACTGGAACTAACTAGATTATGAGAAAAAGTAAGCCGACTGCGTAAAGAGCTCGGCTCATTAGCGAAGCATAGATAGAAGTATGGCGAGTACATAGTAGCTTTGATCAGTTCGTTAGCCTCTCTTAATTAACCGGAACAATTGATCAGGTGTTTGCCACTGAGCGTCGCAATTTCGTAACAGTTTCTCGCGGCGCGATAAGCATCGCAGAGTTTGTTGCACGCTATTTCCACGCTGTACATTAGCAGAAACCATTATCTCGTATTGGCATCGATTAATAATCATTCACGCAAATCACTTCCTCATTCAGGCAGATTTCCACTGGCTTTCCTTGATAACTTGTTACCGAGAAAATAACGAAGTTTATAGATGACAATATACATCGTCTTACTGTATACTATAATTTAAATTCCCGTGATGCCATCAAAAAGGTCGCGGAGAATTATTGTACATGAACATTGTGAAACGTGATTCATATTTCTGCTTCTGATCGTGATCGAACAATCGATTTAAACTAGACCAAATGCCGTCAAAGAAACGAAATATCATAGCGATACAAGAGAAAGACTTACAGAAGCCGTGAAGGCCGGATCACAGATTACGCAAAGAATTCCGTAATCTCGAAACGATTCCTTAAGTGGTTTTCGACTTGTTTATTCTCAATAAATACAGCCATTTCTGTATTTTATAATTGAATTTGTAGTTCTTCTAATTTCTAACTGTGAACTTCGACAGTCATCTTAAAAATTTTAAATGTGAGATAAAAACCTACATGTAGACGATTACAGATAAAAAATATATAGATCAAATATCTTTCAGAATATATTCTAAAAGTTTCACCAAAATCAGCGATTGATAGTTCAAAAATTTCATTGAAAATATACAGCTGTGTAATTTCATTGACTGGTAGCTCGAATAATCGCGAGTCACGGTTTGACAGGCATCTAACGAGCTCACTTAAAGCGTGTTTATGATTTTTCATAATCGCTGCATTCGTGGGAATGGAATTGAAACTAAGATATCGTGTCTCATTGAAATTCCTGTGGATTCGAGCCGACGGACAAGGAAACGGCGAGCGTCGAAATGATTGAACGTACAGTTTGATGAGTGACGGCTTCAGGCTTCGCGCAGTAGTCAGTTTTGCATACTGTGAAACGTGCAAGAGGTAGATTAATAATCAGTCGAGGATAATTGAAAAGCTGTAGAAATTGACACTGCGTTGGAGATAAGACACGTTAATGGATCGGACAGTTCTTGTAGAAGTTATAGTTTACTGTAATGTAATAATTTGGTGCCAACTTTCCTCTTAACAGACGTTCTTTGGATAATTTCCGATCGTATCGTATTTTTCTATCGTTGGAAAATGTTTTCAATTTGAGGAAAATATACAAGAATTAATGCGCGATTTCTTGTTGCAATTGTATGGCAATAACTTTCTAAAAACGTTAGAAATTTCTTTCGCGATTGAAACTAACGCGAGTTTGAGATAGAACACGTTCGAAAACCGGATCAGGGTTAAATAATTGAGAGTTTGCAACTACTTTCAACATTTTTAACAAGGATGATTTTTCGTTCAGGTCCAGTGCTGTTCCCTCCGGGTCCCCCGCCAAATAGCGCGGACACAAGCGGAGTGATAGTAGGCGCGAGCGGATACGGATTCGTGCCACCCAACCAAGGTAAATCGTCGATTGGATTCTGAAGGGAAAATGAAATCGCTTTCGTGACGCAGAAGCAGAGAATGGCAACGATTCTGCTCTTAAAATTCAGACCTTCACCAAAGACCCCCCTCGCGGCGAGCAGTAACTTTTGGGGGTGAAACTAACCCCGAGCACTTGTCGCCGTCCTTGTGCACCTAACTTGTGAATAAAACACTATTTATTTGTTGTCACACACGTCGGATAACCCAGCCTTTTCCTTCGTTTACTTCAACATGTCCTCATGCTGCATGAAGATCTCTTTCATTGAGTATGAATGATCGATTACATCATGTAATTAGGGCGTGACTGAAGGGAGACACGATGATACTTGTGTTCATTGACACGTGCCGACTGTGTCAATTCATTGGAATCGTTTCATCATGCTGTTCATTAAACGACTCACATTCATTACGGTAACAATACTGTAATCTCTAGATTGCGATTGTTTATTCTAGTTCACATTTCTTTCGAGCGCCACTAAAGAAATTGAACTTAGACGGAGTACTGTTTTCTCGGTTCTTACTTATTCCTGCTGCGATCGTCGAGTTTTTATATTGCAAACTGTGTGATGTTTTTACTTTGCCAAACAAAAAAGTTTGTAACATTTTAAGAACACGTTCGATGTAATATTAAAACAAGAATTTTCTCATATTTTGTTCAAACTTGTCATATAACGTTGGACAAAAAAAAAAATGGATTGAAAATGGCAGAAAGTATGTAGCAGGGTTAAATTTTTGATAAGTGCACAAACATCCGCAATCTAGTAATCTTCGTAACACTTACCTACTCTACTTCGTCACTTTTAAATAACCTACGTGATGTTGAAGAGCTCGAAAGTTACACCGAATATCATTGAATATTCTCAATTCAATATATAGAGAATACGTTTGCAATCCTTGGCCGCTTCCGTGAAAGGCGTTCCATCTCGTTCGTGATCGTGAACTACTCAAAGGTCGACGTCCCTCCTCCCTGACCTTTTATAAATGTTAAACACTGCGTTAAAACGCGGAAGATGGTAATATATAAACGAACATCTAACCTTCGAAGCATCAATTCCAATATTATGCAAATTTCTCGAGTCACACGAAACTTGTAAATATGGAAACACAAGACTCTTCTTCCTGCACTAACCCAAGAGTTTCTCATACAGTCATATATTACTAATACAATAGATATTGTTTGTGCTAGTTGGTGCTAATTAGTACACCCGACACTTGTCCAATTTGAAAGTGCGTCTTAACGTACGAAATTCTACTAACATTTTGTAAATAAGACATAGAAGTTGGCACGTAGAATGGTGACGTACAGGTAAGCTTAGTCTAGCATTAATTTTAGAATTTGAAGATAGAGTTTGAGAATTGTTTTAGGTAAGTATTGGGTTGTAACGTAAATCCGTGTCCCGTTTTTGTATTTACTATAGCAACTCAGAAACCGGGACGAACGTATGTTACGGTCTGATAATTACGGAATGATAAATCCAGATCTTTTTCAGATAATATTCATGTAACATTTTGTTTCACTTTCGATCGTCTTAAAGGAAAAGTGTTACAAAACGAAAAAGTTATTTCCTATATCCAGAAGATCGATTATTAGGTTATTTAATAGGCCGCGTCGACAAAATATTTTACGCACTTGGAATTTAAAAAGAATTAATAAATATAAAAACTCGGTATTTTGAACTTGTCAGGGTTTTGCACCCTCTTAAGGAAAGGAAAAAATCTTCCTCCTTATGAATCGAACCTAGGAAACAAACAAGCCACCCCTAAAATCCCCGAGGCTGACGGCGATATTTTCGCAGAAAATACCGATTCGGTTCTCGCATAAATCACATCACGGAGTAATCCACGCGCAAATGGAAGCACCGAGGGCTGCCTCTTCCAGGATTAAGTCGCCGGGATTCCTCCCCGCCCCCCCCTCTCTCTCTCTCTCTCTCTCGCTGTTTCTCTGGTTGATTCTCCCGGCAGAAGTTACGTGAACGAATAAAAATCTCCTCTCGTCCTTCATTATCGAAATCGTGCCGCGCCCGCCATTGGCGATCTTCGTCGTTGGGCAGAGAACAAGAGAAAGAGTAAGAGAGAGAGAGAGGAAGAGGAAGAGAATACCGGTTTCCTCGAAGAGGAGTCAGGCCTTGGGATTCACTTAAAGAACAGCGTGACGGGGAGTCAGTGAAAGTGGTTTCGTTGGCCTCGTGACTTAAACTCGTTTACGCGTAACCTCGGCTGTGGTACTTCGCGAGGCGTAACAGGTGTTACGAGGTCAGCCGGGTCAACGACAAGGTCGTCGCTTTTAGTGTCACGCTGGAAATTGTACCTCCACTCGGATCAATGTTCCTCGACTTCCCGATTCTTCGTCTCACGGTCAAGTTCGCGGTTTTAAGCTTTCTTTTCTTAACACTACGATGGCTATAAAGTTTCAAACGTAGCTGTCTTTAGCGGCTGCCGTATTTTCATCAAGAATTGATAAATTACGGTTTCTCTTTCATGCGATAGATTGTAAAATATTTTTCCGCATCTGTAAATTTAACAACCGTGTCGATGAATTTAACAGTAGAATTGAAACGTTCTTCGGGGATTTCAAAGATCAGAAAGTTTCTCCTGTAACAATGGAAATCGTAAAACTTGGGTTGTTAAAAAAAAAGCCAATTTAGAAAAAAGCAAATTGTTTTGATTATATGAGAGAATAGCATCGTTCTTCGGAATAGAAATTCGATTTGCATTTTTCAGTGGTCGAACGCAACCCTGAAAGTGTTAACCAGTCGCGTAACGAAGGCAATTTTGAATTTTATAATCGTAAACAGGCGCAATTGGTCGTTGCTAGGCTTTCGCCGTTTTCTTTATCGCGACTCAACGCTGCGAACGAAGCTGATATTTAATTCGTTCATTAAAGTAGACTCGTAATACGATTTCCAGTAATCGTAACGAGTTGTTATTTAATCCGTTGTGAATGTGTAATGGGTACAATTTTACGAGCATGCAGTCTACTCGCGAGACAGGTTCGATCGGTGTGCAAACAGTTTCACGAATCGTTGCGCGACTTTCATACGCTGTCATTATGAGCAATAACAGTTAATCGAATTACCGAACGGACCACTTAAAGAACTATGCGCACCTTTGCCTGCAATATAATCGCAAATATTTACTCGGTTAATGAAAGTTTATTGAAAAGCGTGGTAGTGTAAACTACCTACCTTACATAATTGCAGATATATAAAATATACTCGTACTTCTCTCTAATGGAACTCCAGAATTTAATTACCGATCTTATCTCAGACAGCAATACGCAGTTAGTATTAGAACGTTCAACGAGTTCGTGCCGTCCGTTTAGACGCTTTCAGCTTTGGTTTCATTCTCCTATTTATTTAATACCGAAGGGTAATTGATTTTGTACATTCAAGGTTTCAGACACCTGTTGTACCAATAGACTTTCGATTTCATCCAACAAACCACGAATTCTGTCCGCGACTACGTAAGATTATCACAAAGAAAGTGGTTGATTTACAAGATTAGAACTTTTTTTCGAAACCTATCAAATTATCTTCTACGATGCCAAAACATCTGTTCTGAAGCTGGCGACGATTACCGTCGTGGCGCTTTAATGTCAAGAAAACGTGTTAAAAGTTTCGTACCATGATTGCCTGGAGATTCGTCGTGCGGCATCGAGATAACTCGAAAGATTCGCTAGCAGTGAGATAAGTAGGGCAAAGCATAATTTAATTCAACCGCGCGAAACAGCCAGGCCAGGCCTCGTTTTCGTTAATGCTCAGCGACGAAGGTGGGTCGTTAATATGGAGATCGTCCATTCCGATGTTGTCTGCGCGTTATTCTGCAAAGTTCTAACGATGCTACCGTCTCTCGTCGAGCTTTTAACGGGCCGCGATATCGGCCTGGTCCGCCTTTTCGCGCGGAATAATCGTGCGGAAAGGAGGTAATTACGGGGTGGAAATCGGGGACAAATTCCCGGGACACGGGGAGCTACTTGAGTCGAGCGCGATTTAGGTGTTAATGATATAGTTTCGCGAACGACCGGCTGCCAGTGAAAGTTCGATCGACTTCCCTCTGCCCTCTGAACGTCTGTGATCGAGAATTGATGGTGTCGTCGTGTCGGAAAGAGAAAGGGAAACGAGACTCTTCGGTGCACGTGTTGCCCCGTAACTCGAATCGATCGTTAAACTTGAACCGCAGACATGACTTCTACGATTTCTCCACTATTCTCCAGACGCAATGCATCAAGCACCACTGCGAAGTTAAAATCTTTTCAAAATTCAATCAATGCGAACCGGAAAAAGACCGCATCGTCGAAAAGCAACCCTTGCTTGGTACGAGTACTCTTCTCTAGTCTGTTCCACTCTGAGGGGGCCTAAATTTACGCGTAGCATGACGCCCCTTCGACTGCCTAATGGATCCCACTGCCGTCTCCCTCTTGGTTAACTTTATTGTCAGCGCCGCGGTCGGCCCAGTACTGAAGCCAACGGACAGAAAAGCGAGCACTTAACAGTCAAAGGGAGAGAGAATATCGGATGTGGATGAGGTAGGGTGGCTTGGGTGACGAGGGTCTTGTAATTAGCAGCTTTGAAGTGGTCCCGGGCCTGACTTCTCATTACCGGTGGTCAGGTGTCCCAGCGATTACTCGCGGAAACGAGGCTCTGCCGGTTAGCCGCGCGATCCTTCGTGAAAATCGCAGCATCTCGAACTTTGCCGCCTCGACGATAAGCACCCTGTTTCGCAGGAATTGCAGGAATATGCAGGATTGAACGACTGTTGAAAGAGCGGTGTTGAACTAGAAAACCAAGAACGTAACACCTTTGCTACATAATGAGATTTGTCTCGTGATACCTATTCATAACTGGTAGCGTGCATTGTTTAAAGCAATGAAATATCGTCTCAATGTCTATCTATGGAAAGAAAGTTTACAAATATGTAGAATGAATATTTAGCGAAGCGTGGAGTTAAATTTGAGAAAAGAGAAAGCGAAGAATTTTGTCCGGAAAGATCGAGTTTGATATGGTGAATTTAATTTGAAAGGAGAGAAAATGAATTTGAAAATTTCACGGGGTTTAGAAACGTATGTTTGAAAGGATAATGTATGGTTATGGTGATTGGTAGCGATTCGATATTTCCAAAAGCTGAGTAAGATTATTTTTTATATTTTGTTGCAGCTTTCTACAGGTACTTTTACTATTAACGATGGATAAAGGAGGTAATGGAGGTAAAAATATCGAGAGATTCGTGATTACTGTGTCATCATTAACGAGGAAGTGGTATGGCAAGGAGTTCTCAAGAAATTGACGAATCCGTGACAAGGAATAATTTAGGAACAAATAATCCTGCGTCCAATTTTGTATTATATTGTATACTTTAATTATTTTTATACTGCCTAAAGAGTTTCTAAACGTGTTTCCAACGATACTCAGGAGTATCCTTAGCAGTATTTGTACAAAGAAGTACATATCTTAAACTAATGTATCGTTATACAAACAGCGTCACTGTAGCAATTCACAACAGTGGAATCTCAATTATTTAATTCAAAATTTTGCTTCGCGATAAAAGCTCATAGAATATTAACTGCGGTCAAATATATATATTGTCAGAACAGAATTCTTTGCTGGAAGGGTGACATAAAAGTAAAGTATTTAATAGAATAGGAATATTACAATAATTCGATGAAATTACGTTTAAAGTAAATCTACTTTAACCTTCTTCTTAATATGTAATGGAGATTCCCCGGTTGTTAATATAATAAAAGTATAATATCTAGAATCGTTCGCTAAAAGTCGCGTATCTTTATCGATGTAGAAACGCAGTTTACGCTTCAAACATTTATCGTTCGTCGTCGTCGAGATTGCAGCCCCTACTCAATTTCCTGTACATAAACAAAGCAGATAGAAATCGAGAAGGCAAACATCAATCATTCCATGAGCGCATGCAAAGTAGCCCCTTAAAAGACGCGTGAAATTAGCGTCGTAAATATACGTAACTTCCTTGTAAAGCTGTTCCGTATCGATTTTAATACACGATACACAAGGCGATCGAGTTGTTTCCAGGATTTGGCCTACGCGATTTCTCAAACGTGCTGTCGCGGTGCACGCATGCCTGCCTCGCTTTATTACGTCACATCTCGATCGATCGACCGATTGTCGGCCGTAGCTCGGCTTAGTCATAGGCTGCACTTGAAATCGAAATGCGCGAGGCATGTAACCGGCACGCGATGCATGGGCGGGAAAATTGCGGATTGTTCCGTCGACTCGGAATACCGTTCATCGATCACAGGCCAATCTGGTTCGACCACCAGTCACGGTTAATAAGCATAATCTTATGTACATAGAACTGTACATAATTCTTGGTCCAATAAAATTATTTTGTTGTTAACAAGAACATATCCTGGTGAATATTATGCCGTAACAATGAGAATATACAGTGGTTTGCGAAAGTATTTGAACGCTTATGATAGAAAATTTCGATGTCAATATCATCTGTGTTGTATAAAACGCTTTGAAATCTTATTAACATTAGCTTAACTTTGAGAGCGATTACTTATCCCAGTAGAATAGTAAGCGAGTACTACTTATCTGTATACAACGTGTATAACAATTAAGAAAAGTTATAATAAGAAGTAGGCTGAGAAGACGATCGACACTTGCGAGATTCGCGTCGTAACACGGTTCCCGGTCGATTCGCGGTGAAACGGCATCTGACGATAACGAGACACGTGCAACGAGAATTCCTTTACCACGGAGTAATTAGCTCTGATTATCGAGTCCGATTCGCAAAGATGGTCTCGTTAACGTAATTACGCGCAACACGGCCACTATCTTCGTAGCTCGGCGCAGCGATGGATGAAGCATGCATGGGAAATTAAGCCGCGAAATCGTGCGATCTCGTACCGCTTCAGCGCCTGTTCGTATACCGACGTGATGAAAAGTTTGTTACGAGATCGTAGGAGTGCACTATAAACACGATACTATGTGTGTAATTGACTCTTATAACGGTGATACGGAAGATTTCAAGAAATCGACAAAGTTTATATAAAACTGCAGAGAAGCTCGCGCTTCGGCATGTCGGTGGTTTCCTGCTTAATTTATGATCTGGTAACATCGACGACACCCGATCGATGAAATCGTAAAACAAGATTGATTCTCGACGAGTATATCCAAGTTTGTCGACAAGGTGAGCATCTAGTCAAGAATTAGACGGCTTAGCAGGATATGCAAAAGCGTGCGGAGAACGTTAATGCGTCGTTCCATCCCGCGGGGAACGAAGAATCAACAGCATTCTGCACGCCTCCCAGGAAGCTAATGGCTGAGTCAGCGCAGTTAATCTCCCCTTTTCCTTCTTTTTCCCCCATGAATGATTAACGAGGCGTCCATTAGATCATTAAGATTTGCCGTGGTTCCAATTTACTTGCCTAGACACGCCACAGTCTTAATTACGAATGTCTTCTCTCTCTCTCGGAGAAACACGCGGAATTTTCCTGTCTGACCAACGCTGTCCTTATCTACTTACCGACTAAGAGCGACTGGATGGAACTTGCACGATAAAGATCGCAGTTTCTACCGACGTATAACATTATATCGATGAAAGTAGAGAAGAAATTTACATTGTACACGAATCATGGTTACTTAAGTTTTTTTTTCATCGAATATCCGTCTATATCCGTTTTTGTTGTTCGATTCTACCGTAACGATTTTTACGATTGTATTTCTTCATTGAACATTCTCTACATATTCTTACGTCACAATGAGCATGCACGTAATGATCGATGCGAAGGCAATCACACGGAAGAAAGCGTGTGTAGTAAACCGGAAGCAAAATCGATACAATTACATGGAATTAAAGCAATTGCATTAGGTAGCGGTGAGCACGAGGATACGAAGAAAAAGAGAAGGTAATAATAGAAGATACGTGCGCGGACCATGAGGGAAAGCAACAATTCCCAATCACAGTCGGCGATTCGTGTCTCGACTATAAACCCACATAATTCGACGAGCTGTTGGAGCTGTTCGAACACGAAACATAGGCGGCCTAGACTTTCCATGGATCGCAGTCACGTTATGTCACCAAAGAACTACTTTTGCCCTGTTCGTCAATCGGTATCGCGAGCTTCCAGCCCGTCGAGCAAACAGCCTATCGATTATCGTGGCCAGCCTGCATTTCACTGGTTTCCCATGAAACGAATTTATCGGAAGCCCAGCGAATAAGTAAACTGTAAACCGGCTGTTTGGCCCGGCTGAAACTTCGATGATCGGATTATTCGCCGGTTCTCGGGACATCACGCCGCGGTTCGCCACACGAAATTACGTTTAGAGTTTGGGTCGACTTGCTCCGTCACATCTACCTCGCAAAGCCACGGGAGCATAAAGTTATTTCCAACTAACATACAAGGTACAATAGCTCTTTGAACATTTATCGAAACATTTTACGAGTGTACTATACAAAACATTTTGAAATTTCATTAGCATTACGGTAAGATACGACTATACGATTGTATTTGCCAAGATCCTATCGACAAAGTTTCGAACGAATTTGAAAGCGTCTGCGAACGAACAAGCAGAAAAGTTTTCTACAGAGTGTATAGTAAGAGTTCAAGTAACACTTTGTGTGCCATTAGTAAGGTGAAAACGAGAGACATAATTTTTTTCACGGTATACTACTCTAGTTTTTGCGCTAGTTTTGCTGTTTACGCCTCCATAAGAAGGAAATCTAGCGTCAAGGAAAGAAAAAGTAAACATTCTATTACGTAAAGGACTATGAATATTTATTCAACTGACTATTAACTAGATTCTACTCACGCTGTTGCGCCATACTTCCCTGCCTATGTAAACTGGTTTCCTTGTAAAATAAACAAGCGAAACTTTCTTCCCGACCTGGTAGCGATTCTTAAGGAAAAATGTGCTCATATTGCGAGATATATATGTATGCCGGGGAAGGAGAAGCTGGTTCGACCACTTTTAAGATATCAGCGAACGAGACCACTTTCGGGACACCCTCGTGAGGAATGGTTACGGATTATCGCGTCCAACTCGTTGACTAATTAATAACTTGTCTGTTATTACATAACGAAGTTGCACGTGGCTCGGCGAATCGATATCGCATACAGTTAGCAGAGCGTGGAAAGCGTCGCGCCGCGGGAAATATCATGCGGCTAAGGAAATTATTGATGTACCACTACGATGGAATGCCTCTGTGACAATATTCTCGCGATTTTTTGGCAGATTTCTGCTAATGTTTCTCTTTTTAGCGAAACCTGCAGATTTTCCATTATCCTCCAGATCAAAATAGAATTTTCTTCGTTATGACTTTGTGTTTTTTCAAGAGTTAGGTGAATTATTATTTGCGAAAGAATATCGTTTGAGAGACAATAGGTAATTGATCGAAGGATTAGTGAAGTGTGACGAAGCAGATCGTGAAAATAGGCTCTGGCGATTTGGAAATAATGTACCCATTCCATTGATTTTTTTTTTATCGATGAATCTAATTGTTAAGTAACATGAAAGACAATGTAGTATGGAGACAAAGACAATGTTAAATACGATCAATAGCTTCGAACTTAAATACTATGAAATACAGTGTAGAACGGAGTTGAATGTAACGTGAGATACAATGTAAAATGGAATTAGCTGAAACGAAGAGTTTCAAGTTTGAGTAGCATAAAATATAGAGTAGAATCGTGTTAACTGATGGTTAGATCTTAAGTAATACGAAATACGGACCAGAAGCTAGCTTCAAACTTACATAATTTGAAATACTGTACAGAATGGAATTAGCTGAGACTAGAACCAAGAGGCACCTACCTTTCTCTTACCATCGAGGTGCAGTATCGATCCAACCGATCTCGAGGAACACTGTAGTATTCGCTAACAGGTGCCGCTTCAAGTATAAACTGGTGAAAGTATGTAGCTTCGCGAAACACTTTTGGCGGCAAGAGATCGAGACAAATTATATTAACTGAATATTATCAAACAGATCCCCGTTCGATAGATCCCCGATAGAATATTCGTGTAATTACATTGGCGTCTGAAAATTAGAGAAATTGGATCTAATAGGTAGTTCTCGCGCAAATGATTAGTCTGAATCGAAGTAAAGTCCGCTCACCAGTTCGGAAGACCGTCAGTTAGCAGGTATCGTCAGGTCGACGACATGAAATCACGTTAGCGAAACGACGAAGCCTATCAGTCAGTTCTGGGGTTCGTAGCGCGGTTCTAGGGTCAGCCTTTTAAGCCCTTGACGCGATTACGTCCATTTTAGGAAAGCATTAGGCGTCTCCCTATGCTTCTCGTCATTTTTTTACCTCGTTGATTCGTGCAAGCTACGAATTCAACATATCATATGTATAGTATGTATAAATCACAATTTCACAAATCGCAAAGTATAAATTTCAAGATACCTTGAGAATTCTCAAAATTCGACGTAGACGAATCTTCGATCGTTCAAACTCAAAGTCTCTGTTCGAGTATGCTTCATCGATTCCATTGGAATCGCAAGAGTAACCAATCCTTTTTTACGCCCTCGTGTTCAAAGGCTACAGAAGGAAGGGGAAATGTTGAAGCGGTTGGGAGAAAATCCGCGAGGCAGAAGGGCCGAATTCATTATTAAAAAGCCGAAGCGAAGGCTGTGCCGCCCCTTTCATCTTCCCTTCGGAAGCCAGTGCATCAATATTCAAGCAGCGATGCGCCTCTTCGTATCGCGACAATGTCAGGTAGTTTACTTTATATTTCACAACACCCCGCCATCAATCCAGCCCCCCCTTCTGCATGGTTATAAGATCCTTATCGCGTCTATTCAAAGGCCGAGCCGCGCGAGCCTGCGAAAATAGAGATTCGGTTCACCTTCCCTTCCGCCTTTTCTCCCTCTTTTTCGTTTTTTCTTCTCTCATTGCCCGCTCTCGAACAGATTCTGACGGGGATCGTTTGAAAGGGACGCCCTTCCGGTCCCCGCTGGTCCGCGGTCTCCGCTCGATCTCGCGTCTTGAATAGAAAGATCGAACTACTCTAATCAGAAGATTACGAATAGCCGAGCAGATTTAAATTTTTGCGACCATAAATGAAAAAATGCAACTTAAATACCAAAGATATCTTTCGCCCACTAAATATTACAACGAATAGCGTACTTTGCATATTTCATATATGTATGTAAACTCTCTAAGAGTTCAAATGCGGATAAACAAGGGGTCTTTCTCTGTTTTACGGACAGCACGACTTCTTTTGTTTCACGGACAGAGCGGCTTTCTTTGTTTTACGGAGAGCCATTTTGAGAGACACGCATTTCCCAAACGGACGGACGGAGATTAACATCGGTGATAGACAAGATCACAGAAGAAAGAGTAATTGTTTAAAACATTGAAGATTGACGGAGAAAGATCGGTAGCTCAGGACGTTGAAAATCGATTCTCGATTTTCAGGTAGACATTACACAGAACTTGCTATTTATTGTTTACTGTTATTAATTGGTTGTTGTTTATTTAATTATTACTGTTATTAATTGTTGTTAATTATTAATTGCTGTTTACTCCTGTATTTCATTTAAGTATTTTCACAATAAACTCGATTTTCAGAATCGATCCCTGAATTATCCTAGAATTGAATCTTTATATGTATGTTTGCATTTTATATACTTTTATGCGCTTACACATACAGTTTACGAATAAGGCACGAATAAATTTTCCGATCTTAACACGTTTTGTAAAATGGTTTAATTTTCATTGGACTGTAATGCAGAACATACGGTGGCTTGTTCTTCCTTCCTGTCATCATGTTACTACTTTTTCAATTCAGCAATTATTCGCACCGAGAGCTGTGGGTGTATTAATTATTCGACCGATTAAACTTTGATCCGCGACAGCGAACGATGGCGAAACTCAAAGCGAGAATATTTTATAGGCATTTGTCGGATACAGAGTGTAAAGCCGAGAGCATAAGAGAAGCACTCGGATGATTGAACGTCAAAACGTCGTGCCGACAGTGACGACGACGACGCGGAATCCGCTTTGCGATCTAACCTAATTGAATGTTCGTAAAGCGGAATACTTAAAAGGGAACTGGAGGATGAATAATCGGGATTATTCGTGAAAGGTAGCATGCTGATTTACGTCGTATTTACGCGGCCTTTCTTTCTTTTCGTTGAATTATGCTCAACAGGCGAAACTACGATTTCTTTATAAGATCTCTGTGAAAATTTTAAGATACGGTTTCCATAAGTTAGACGAAAGAATCGATCCGCAAATCCTCGAAGGAGCACTTTGGTAAATTTGCCACAGAGTCTCAGAACCATTGGGAGGAGTCGCATTGCCTCGTGAATCGAGCGGAGAAACGATCGTTTCGGGGCCTATTTGAAAGCCGAAACGAGGCAATGTAATGTCAAAGGAATTAAGCATTGAGAAGGTGGAATATTCTGGAGTATACTTGAAGCAGAACCGAAAATTGTAAAAATTTCAGTACATTCTCATCTTTATGTGGTAACATTGTTGAATTGTCTGAAGTCTGCAGATAATAACGAATATATACTTAGAAGCAGTACTTCGTACCATTTCATGGAGAGTTAGATGATATATTGGAATTACTTATTAAAAGAGAGCAGTAACTTGTATTAACGTCGGAAGTTCTTCGACCAGTTTAACATTCTTCGTTATCTTCTTCGCCTGCGGTCGACAATTGTCAAAACTGAAATTATTGGAGTATAATTTATCCGTAATTTCATAATTAAAATACTGTTGGTTTAAAGTAAGCAAGTATTTGAATACTTTTGAACAGAATCGTATTTGTCGTTGGTTCAATCAAACTAAAGCGTCTGAAAGAATCCGACTTTTACAAAGCTTGGGCTTTGAGACACGATCTTCGTATCAAAAGCTTTTCCCGTCGATCGAAGAAAAAGAAATTTACGATGGCAATTAGCGCGGCAACGTCCCGCGAGCGTTTAGTTGAATTTTAGTAGCCATTATCGTAGTTCCCGCGACGTGAGCCTCGTCCTCTCCCTCGACGAATTTTTACTGCGAGCCGCGGCCCGCGTATTACTTTCCTTCCCCTCCTTGGGTTTTTACGAGGACTTGTATGAACTAGGCGAACACGAGGGGAGGGAAAAAGGAAGAACCCCAACGAAGAAAACCACGGAGAGCAATTAGTCGTAAATGTCCCTTTGCTGCGCGCCATTGCCGCGACTGCACCGTTGATTGCTCTGGCGTTCGGTGATCGAACATGAAACTGAGAAACGCCTACGTTTCCTGCAAATGAAAATTCCTGCTTTTATACTTTGTGGGGCGGAGACGAATTCTTTAGGCGTTGCACCGATTTGTCCGATAACTCGCTGAAACAATTTCATCGCGAATAGAATTAAATCTCGGCGTATCTTTATTATTTTAGCCGTGCTTCGAAGAACCAGCGATTACAATTAAACTAAGACGGTTACCCCTTGACTCTCCCTAAACGAAACCAAGGAACACCGATCACCCCATTATTAGAATCTTAGAACGTGGTAACTCGCACGAAACTGGCACCCTCCTGCACGCGAGTGCTCGTTGGTCCTGGGTATCGCGTCGTTTAACAATATTCTGAGAACGAGGCATGGAACGCAACCCTTTTCCGGTGGCAGTGGCGCGCGGTTAGTCGCGACAGGCTGCCTCGAACAATAAACTCGTTTATTATTGGCTGAACAGCGTAGCCAAAGCTGTGGAACGCGATATTACGGCATTATGGTGGTACGATTGACTAAATCGTCGCTGGGTCCTCGTAACTCGGGATTAGGGCGAACGGCCGGGCTTAAATCGGTTATTACGTCGCGTTGCCTAACCGTAAATCGTGTCTAACGTTATTCCACAAGCACGAAAACTAGAGAAGAAAGAAGGATGAAGAGGGCCGAATACCGTTTTCTGGT